TTTTAAAAAACTTCAAAGCAGGCAGCTATATTTTTTATCTGATTTTACTTGAGCAACTTCGAGCTTAGTTACAAAAGTACATGTTGAAACTTGAAAAAGTCGACTAAGAAATCTCAAAGCTCAATATAATAACATTCCATACAATTCAAATGAATTATTGTTGCATCATAAATAAAAGAGCGCTATATCTTTTTCAAACATAATTTTTTTTCTATATGTTATTAATGGTTCATGATTGCAATTTGTATTTATTTAGGACTTGATCAATATTTGTCGAACGGTGCCTTGCAATCGTGTGTTTTTTTCCATGGTCGTCACAGCCTTTCGTAGATTTGTCGAAGGAAGGTTCCTTCCGCTTAGCTCGCTGTCGGTCGTTTACATTGCGGAACGCATTAGCGGGGACGGGATCGCGCGCATCGCTGCGCCAGGCGTGCAAATTGCACGCAGCGCGTGCCTGTCTAATACGTTTCCGCTCGTATTAGTGCTTTTACAAAGTACTCGGTGTTGCACCTGGTACACAACTATACGGGATACGCGCAACCAGTTCTCCTCTTTCCTTCTGCACTCGTATTGCATCGGAACGGACGCTCTGTCGCACTTAGCAGCATGCACTTAAAGACGCATCCTCGTGCCCATCGAGCTCGTGTCGATACGCACGCGACATATCCTAAGACAATCGAAACCGTTAGGCGGCTTTCATTCACCCGTATTTGCATTGCGTGATGCAATCGCGCCTCCCTGTCTGCTGCACGCGTAGAATGAATATGGAACAAAAAAATAATACTCCTCCGCGCAAAATTCGTCGGTATAGTCGAAACGGAAATTTTGCGGAATGCCTGAAAAGCATTTGCCACGCCGAAGAAAAAATTCAGATTCCACTCGTCGGTGAAATTGTTCTCAATACTCTCCCGTCTTAAAATCGATTCGGAAAATTAATGCGTCTTTGAAAGCCTTCGTGTCGATCATCCTCGATATCAGCTTATTGCTTCACATCATAACCTATCCTAATGTTATGTAAATGTAAATCGCCTAAGCAGATTTCGTCGCGGTCAAGCCATGGTCGGCGAGTATCGAGTTCACCGTCGATGTGCAAATTTCGTATTCGTCATAACTCGGCCGGCGATCGGACGTAATATGTTGCTGGCCGTGCACTTTTGCACGCGAGTCGCAGTTTTCGTCTATCCGCTCACGTGTCGATCACATGCGGAATATTTATAACTTAAATTTCACAAAAATGACATTGTTCTAAGAATGGAGTTTTGATTTTGATTCTAAGAATCAGAACTCAATATGATTCATAATGTAACTATAAACAGCTTAATGTACACTGGAAAAAAAGTTTTGTTGTATTATAAGAAATTCTGGTTGATTCTACTAGTACGTTTGTTCAAAAATGGACGAAACAAATTTGTTGTTGGAATTACCAGAAGATTCTGTTAAATTTCATCCTGTTTAAATCTATCAGAATTTCTTGTAAACCTTACTACATTGTGTTGTTAGATTTACAAAACTCTACCAGAATTTCTTGTTAACTTTACTATATCGTTTTGTTAGGTTAATACAACTTTGCAGTTAAAAAACAAGTTCGGATAGGTGTGGTTTTTGTAAAATACTAACAATATATTTTGGTTTAAAGTATACTCAGTGATGTGATGTTTCCTACCGGGCTCCCGGCTCCCGAGCCCGGTAGGAAACATTACATCACTGGTATACATATATTTCATTAAAAAAAAAAAACACCACGTGATCATAAAACTTTTCGGATGTAAGGCTGATGGCAGAGACCGAGACGTAAAAACTTATGTATGTCGTAGTCGTTTCCACACATATCCAATAACCTTTCACGACTTACGTTTTTCTCTGCCTTACCATACGTCCACGACAGACGTCTACGACAGACATAAGTGCTTACTTCTCGTTCTCTGCCATCGGCCTAACTAATATTCCGTAATGGATTCCACGACGCGACGTAAAACTTTAGCGAGCTCAGTTGAGACTGTTCCGACTGCTTAACGCCATTGCTTCGCGAAAGATCTAATGCGCGCGATACACGCCGCGAGTAGCGAGGGCGCAGTAGCAGTGTAACAAATGAATGCGGCGAACAGTTGATCAACCGTTTAGTGAGTAATGACGAAACTGTTGCAGAGCGCTGCGATTTATGTAAATATAACAAGAAGTTTTGTAGATCCAACAAGAAAACACTTATTCAAATCCTTATAGTAAAGTTAACCAAACGGTGTTGATATAAGGTGTAAAATTTTGTGACGATAACCAGAAATTCTGTTTCGTTCGACTAAAATACGGTCAACCAGAAGAATTTTGTTAATATAATAAAACCATTTTTCTCAGTGTAGGTACTCGTCGTTCCATTTTACAATTAGTGTAGTTTTTATTTATTTTTTTCTTTCAGGAAATCTACGCGCGCGCGTTTACAATGTTCTTGAATATTAACAAAACGCATAGCAATTTATATAACAACGATGTTCGAATAATATTTGAAAATGCCTCACGCAATCTTTCATGTAAAAAAAAAATCACTCAGTTATTCCTGAATTAATCAAACCGAATTAATCATCAGCCTTTCATCAGCGATGCTTCTGAAACACGTTGTAATCGTTTGTAATCGCCATTCAAAATAATGTAAGCACAAGCTATTTTTGCTCGAATCCTGAAAATTGTCAGGTTTGCACATTCCATTTCTTTTCTGAAATTTGTTTGTTGTTTTAAATTTGTCATTCGTGTGTTAAATTTCCATTAATCTATATTTATTTTTCACATGTAGCCTCTCTTCTATTTATGGAGACTTTAACTGGGCTAAGGTTTCGTTCGTTGCGGAGGTTTCTCTCTTTTGTGCTTCATTTGCGAAGGAAATTGCGCGCACGGCGCTTATCGATGTTCTCTCTCTCTTTCTCTGTCTCGATCGGCGATGAGTTTGGTGGATACACAACCGCGTGAGGAGAGCATCTCGGGAATCATCGACATCGCGGGAGTGATGTGTCTCCGGACACGTACCAATATGCTGAAACGTGCCCGGGGCACCGCGCAGCAGCTCAAGGCCGCGTCCGTATTGACATCACCGCGAACGTACGAGCGGGCGGTGCTTTCGTTTGTTTTAAGCCGGCCGCTTCTTTACCTTGTTTGGAACACGTTAATGCGCGCGAAGATAAAGCAAAGCGCACGTGTGCGATGCGCGCGTGGCACGCCGAGCGCATCGGCGGCGTGGCCTTTCACGAATTACACGCGAAAAAAAAGCATATGCAATCTATATACAGGGTGATTCAAAATAACCTGATGTCCTTGCAATGCCATATTCTTGAACGAATTCTGAGACGATTTTTCCTTTTACAAAATTTTGTCCGAAGCTTAGTTTTCGAGTTATAATTGAAAATAGATAGCAACTTACGAGTTCGGTACAACGGGCAGGCAGGGACGCGCAACGTATAATGAGACTGTCAAGTGTTTACTATCGTCTCATGACACATTACACCGTCCCTGTCTGCCCGTTGTATCGGACTCGTAAGTAGCAAACTATTTTCAATTATAACTCGAAAACTAAGCTTCGGACAAAATTTTGTAAAAGGAAAAATCGTCTCAGAATTCGCTCAAGAATATGGCATTGCAAGGACATCAGGTTATTTTGAATCACCCTGTATAAATACGACCCTATCGAGACTCGCCGTATCGTCCAGACGATCCGCCACTTATCACACAGCCGCGCTTTAAAATTATTAGTAACATTTAATTTTGATCGCTACATATAAAATCAAAATATATTTCTGCTTTTCAATACGATTGTTATGAGCAGAATAAAAACAAACAAAAAAATTGACGCTCAAACACAACCGTGCTTAAGTCTGCAACCTGTCGGCATTCTCGAGATCTTTCTTTCCCAAATATTTTAGACAATAGTTCTTACAATAGTTCTCACAATCTCTTTGTCAATCTTTGGAATGATTCTTAGTGGATAACAATTCCAAGAATTCACCCTAAAGTCTCTGGGAATCCTGAAAAACCCTTGACGAACAATTCTTTAAAATCGTTGAAGGACACTCAGAAGTGGACCGTTTTGCTCCCGTTTGCACACCAGGGATTCGTCTGAAGGCAAGGAATTCGTTTATTGCCATTTTGTTCAGGTAGTTTTTGCAGTGCGTTGGAGTGGTTACCAATTTGGAAAGTAAAAACAGCTCTCGACACTAGCAATAGCAATGATAACAAAGTCGTTACGTGGAGTGAAGTCGTTTATGCGTAGGGCATCGACATCTGGAGATATGAAAAAAGTCAAAAGGTGCATGCTTGTGTTCTTCGGGCACGCGCCCGCATTGTTGGCGAGCATTCCTGTTTCCGTTTTCCCGTTGGATTGCTTTCTGAAGTCTTCCGACACGGAACGGCGATAATGACGGTGCACTTTGGTGGTTATAAACACAGTTTAGACATATTGAAAGAATCGAAAAAAAAAAAGAGAAAAAAACAAATAAGATACAACTGTCCCCTTTGCCGCCAAATGTAGCGACACAAATATTGGTACTGTTCACAAGAGCAGCCATTTTAGTCTTCATTTTTCGTTGAAATTCAATTTCGTATCGAAGTTTAACAATTTCCACGGATTACAAACCCGAGTCTGGTACAGATGTATAGTGCCACGCGTGCACATCCGCAATAAAACCGAGAGAAACTCTCCAGGGTGTCGATCGAATCGATCCGGACGATCGATTCACGCGATACACGCCTCCCCACGATCCAAATCCCATGGGTAGGGGCGTATTTATCCGCGAGACGTGATCCACGCGTGAAACATGAGACACACTTATGAGATGGATGGCCGTTGCGCGCTTCTCTCTGCTCAGCAATTGAGTGTACAATTTTTATTTTCTCTTTTCACAAGTCGCTCTGGAAAGCAACTCGATCGTTATCGAAGCCTTATGTAAAGAAAAGTTTTAATTTATTTTTTAAGAAGTCATCCTGTATCACGATTACCAATATAAGCTTCCTTCTCTTTGCAGCTCGTCGTTGTATCGGACGATGAGCAGCGTGAGCACGATGGGTACTGGAACAGGAACCGGATATATTCCTTACATGACGAGCAGCCCCACAGAATTGGCGTCGTCGCCTCAGTTGTGGAACAATCAGGGTACGTATCACCGCTGCGGAGATAATTGACCCGATAATGCGTTTCTGACGTATTAAGCAGATGACTGTCAGAGCTAACGTCTGCATTCTCTGATGCAGCATTCTTGTTGGTGATCGCGTGAGTCATCGAGAACTTAGAAGATTTTTGAGCAAAAATGCAGCTTTAAAGATTCACTGGACGCGAGAGAATTTTATTCTATCTGTGAGTCGTGGTTGTTAATGGACGCTTTAGCAAAAATTATTCAGAAAATGTTCAAAAATTAACAGAAATTATTAGCGTTATTAGTTAAAATTATTCATTTCAATCGTGATTAATTATATTCTTCAATCAATTTAAAGCAAATATTGTCAGAGGACGAAATAGAAAGGTGGATAGAGAATAGTAGAATAAAATACAATGGGAGTTTTCTAACAAAGGCACAAGTACTTTTTTACACTTCTTAGTTGAGTCATTTTATGTGAGGATTTGAGGTTATTTCTGACTCAGTGCTATCTATATCTTTGCTGAAAGATTTCCATTACCTGGTGACATTTTTATTAAAGAAAAACTCTTCATCTTGACAAAAGAGATTTGAAAAGGACAAGGATCATAATTTTCAGGTTACCTACAGTGCATTTTTATTTTGTCCGCAGTTACAGCTCTGAGCACGGGACTTCCCATTTCTGAGGATTATGGTAGTAGCAAGTCCTCAGGCGCAGTGTCCCATCAATCCTTACCGGCATTTTCGCAACCTTTTGGCAGTCGGTCTAGCTTCCGTGGTTATAGTCCACCATTCTCGTCGTCTCAACAGAACACCACTGGTACTGTTACCGGTGCCGCTGTCGAAAGCGCTTCTTGGACGTATGCGACACCAACAAGCGATCCGATGACGACGCAATACGCCACGCCGTCAAGACGACAAACCGTCAATCCGGTATCAGCACCAACGCAGCTCAGCGCCGCGGCGAGTTTGACTGCCAGTGAGTAATTTTCATATTAGACAAATTTTTTGCTTGCGAAATTAGATGTAATGGTGTGATGAATGGAGTTGGGTGTAATTAGAGCAATTTTAGAGGAATTTTTAATCCTTTCAAGGTTGTTCTTATGAACAAAGAATACGCGAAAATATGATAGGCTTTTAGGTCTTTATTTACGTTAGCAAAGATACAAGCTTTTGAAGAAATAATTTTATTCGTTCAATTTTTAAGATAGAAAATTAAAAGTGATTGTCATTGGGCAAAATTTAACATTGAAAAGGCGAATAAAACAATAGTGGCAGAAATAGATTAATAATTGAACTTTTTTAATTTTATAATTGGAGAAAATCGCGAGGAAGCCTTATTGAATTTTTTTAACGATTGTTTGTGCCTTTCCTGAAATTTGTCGCATCTGCAAATATCTGCAGCATATAGTTGCATGCATATGCATATATCTGCAGCGATCGCTACGTATTCTCACGATTTAGATCGTCAAATCGCGATGTTCGTGTCTCCGGCAGTGAAATTGCGAGAATTGGCCAACTGTCATTGCGATAACGCAAACGTGTGTGGGTCATTTTATTCAATCAGTGGAATTTAATGAAAAACATTCTTTGTAGCTTACTAATCAGCGTGACTTAACGGCTGGATGTATATAATTTTTTCACGTGCAATTCCAGCATAACTTTCCGATTACATATTAATTCGGTTGTTTCACAAAATCGCAAATTAAAAAATTTTTTTACGTTAAAATATTTTGTCGTTTAATTGTCGTAAAAATAAATTTTTAGTGATTCTGAATAATATATGAGATAGATATTACGGAGGCTCTATTGATGATACAGAATTTTTCTCATTGTCGTTCGAAAATTCGTCACGTCCTTTCAATATCCGAGCTCACGCAGTGAGCGAAATACGAAACTAAAGTATAGAATGATATGGGTGAGCTGTAAGCCTCCAACCGGGGAGGTCCTTGAGCAGTCAGAAATTCCTGCGGTTGTCGTAATGGTAGATCCTGCATCGTTGAATCATGCATCCCTGAAGTGGGCGGTGTCTTTTGACCAACCTTCGTTGCGTACATCTGCGACCGTACCGAAATAGACGAGCGCCGGCGCTAAACAACACGAGAGGTGGTTTATCCTGCGTCGCATCGACGCGCGCGGTGCGCAGCGTGGTATTGTCAAGCGTGATCGGTGGGCGTGTTGCGCGCGTTTATATATACGTTTCCTCGAGGTTTCAAATTCCGCACTCGATGCATATTACTTCCACATTCGGATCCGCTTTCTTGAAAAATATCCAGCCAAACAAAAAATGTTTTATTTTTGTGTTTTGTTATTTTTTCGCGAAAAGTTAAATTGTTATATAGTTTTTGTATCGTTGTATCATTATTGGATATTTTTTATATATACGAGGGATGTTCATGTCAAAACCGAAATTTAACAGTACGCAGTTACTGAAAGAAACTCCGATTTTGACGTAGACATTCCTCGTAGAATAAACTCGTTTGTTGATATAAAAAAAAAGGAAAGAAAAAGAAAGAAAAAGAAAAAAAAGAAACACTAAAGTTTTTATTTATCGATATATGTATAATGCTTGGTCAGTAACAAGGTCAAGTGACAAGGTCAGTGAGGAAAATATTACGAATAATCAATTATTAATTATCAATAATCATTAATTTCGACTGAATTAGTTCCATAATTTGTTTTTAATTGTTTCGATAATTATTAGTTCTGTCATTAGTTTCGATCGAATAATCAAAATCGCCGTGGTTCATCTTGCATACCAAATTTATCGAACAGCATAAATATTATCATTTTATCGTCGAGCTCTGTTTTGTGTTGGATTTTCCAACGCGATTTGTAGGATTCCGAGCGACGCGCGAGAAACTCCTTCCCCGCAGATGACGAATTGGCGTTAACCGAAGCCTTTATTATGATCGACGGCGTATCGTGTTGCGGTCGTCATAAATAATGAAGAAAAAAAGGATTTCAATAGCTTTCCGTATTCGTGAAAAATCCAACACGGAGACGGGATCAGGCGTAGCCCGATGGGACAGATAGTCGCATAGTTGTGACTAATTCGTTCATGCCACTAAATTAGGGCCGTATCCAACCGACCGTCTCGAATTTCTCGTTTCGGTTTCCCCTTACGCTGACCCAAGTTTTCCTCGAGAGTGATATTTCTCGCGCGACTTTTTTTTTTCTCCACTCGCGTATTACTATTTATGAATGCCGTTAAATGAATATTGGATGATCGATGGGATAGATGACTGATATCTTATGGATTTCCATCGTTATTGCGGAGACGCGAGATTTATCGCTCGCACGGGTCACTGGCTGCTGACCAACGATATATCGACTTTGTAAATGAGAATCCGCGATACGAATTCGCGGTTTTGTTGTGCTTCACTGGCCTCCGTCGGGAGCAGATTAACTAATAAATACAATGAACTCTTTTTTTAATTCGCAATCGGTCACGCGTACTTTTATGACACTCGGTTCGCGATCTCTCGCCAACTTTTAAATAGCATCTTTATTTTTTTTTAGAAAGATAAAGATATAGAATGTCTTTTCTTTGCTTTGGAATAATAATTTTCGCGATATTTACATCGTAATCTTAATTTTATAAGATATTCTATTTCCGATTTCCCAAGATTTTAATTACATTGCTTATGAAAATATGTATAAAAGGGAGCACCTGCTTTCTTCTCGAAATCAGTTATTCGGTAATTGCCGCGGACGTTCGTTCTCTCGCTTCGTAGAAGCGTTCGCGCCTCGAGAGACTCAGGTTCCGAGCTCTTTATCGTCTACGATTTCGGACTTCGCGGTAGTCGTGAAAGAGAGCGTTTCTAACGTATCTCCACGTCGCAGTCGGTCCGCGCGGGGCACCCGTTTCTGCAACGTCACGCGCCGACCGGCTATCGAAGGAGAGGCATTGATACGACCATGACCTAGGCTGCACGAACGCGTAGGCTTAATCTAGTTATGTCTACGTGTGAGATAGAGGTGACGACAGGATTGTATCTAGCGGGGGCGTGTCATTACGATAAATTCCGTCGTAACGTACTTTCAGACGCGTAACATCTAGGTATCTAATCGAATGTCAACCGATGATGTCAGCTGAATGTTAACACGCGCGTTAAATTCGTATATCGTCTGCCGAAAATGGAAGCGGGCGTATCTCATCGCGTTCTCTCCGCGATTAATCGAGATTGCGCTCGCGGTAATCGGAATCTTCGGAATCTCGGACTTCCTACTCGGCCGTAAAATTATGCGAGATCGCAGGTGTAGTCTTAGATTACGAAAGGTTACTTTCGCGTCGAGTTTATTAAATCCACAACTTGTTCGTGTCCAGATTATTTTTGCAATTCTCTAGATGTAAATTAAAATTATACATACACGACGGTAATAAATTTATGGTGATGAAGTGTCACGTTCGCGGAGCATGTTATGTCGCCGGATAAGCAAATTCGATTAAAGCGCAAAATCTTTTTTTCTTTTTTTAAATGCCTCGTCCGCAATTAATTCTGGCTCTTATGCAAGCTTAAGTTCACGACCGAGGTCGATATATCGCATGCAACTTGTTTTATCCGCAACGTGACTCTCTCTCTCTCTCTCCTTCTCCGGCTTACTGTCTTTTTCTGTCCGTTTTCGGTAATAATTAAGTCTCGCTCGGCTGATAACGGCGAGTACATTGAACGTTAAATTCAACGCGTGTCGATTATTTATCACGGACGTTAATAATGACGCCGAGATAGATGTTGCCTCCTCAAGGTTCATGGAGGTCGACCGGACCTTTTTATCCGCATGACGTAAAGGTTTGCCACGCCGCGAGAGAGCAATGAGTCAAAGTCGAAAATATCTCGAATCCGAATCTCGAATCTCTTCGCTGAATATTCTTCGCGCCCGAAAGTGTCGTCGTTAATTTCGGATTTTTCTCTCATCGAAGACCCCGAAGAATTTGTCATAAGGACGCACGGACGATGTTGAAAATTTGTCATCGGCCAAAAAATGAGAACCGAGTACTCGTCCTGTTTCTCTCAACATTTAACGCGCGCGACATCGTATGAGAACGAATTAGTCGTCCTCGGAGATCTCTTTGCTCGACTGCTTTTTTTCCCATGCTCGAGTCAAGTGCTTCTATTTTGAACCTTCGAATCAGTTCCACGTTATTCTTTACGCGATATTAATACCGTGCTTTCATTTATCTCTAACGGTGTCGCGACACGCGGTTGTCGTGGCGGTAACTGGATGCGCGACGGTGATTAGAGTGATCGAGGCATCATGATCAAACGGCGGGAAAATGAAACTGAAGGGGGAGAGATGCGTCTTAGAGGGATGTTCCCGGCTGGGAAGAGAGAGTTTAAAGACTTTAAGTGGTTCTTTAGGGGCTGTAGTCTGTGGTTACACATGCCGCACCATCCTCACTCTGTGCCGGCGGATCGGCAACGGGAAAGGGAGAGAAGGGGAGGGGGAGGGGGAGACGCGCCTTTTAACATACCGCGCGACCTCGAGTGTTTCGTCCGCGAGGAGTTCACCGTCATTTTAAGTTCGACCGCGCCAGACATCCACTTCCACCTTCCTACAGGGAAATCGTCTCTCGGTGTTCTTTCATGTACGTCGTATGCGTGAGCACCGCAAGAGCCCGTGCATCATCCTGAAGGACTACACGTTGCACGTGGCCGTCCCTAAATTAATCCGAAAACTTTCTTCTTTTTTTGGACCACCGCAGCTCGCCTTTTTTTTCGTTTATATTTACATTTACGATCGGCATCCTTTAACCGATTAGAACAGATTTATATTAGTTTTTTTTTTTTTTATTAAATGAAGAATAGACGAATAAAAATGAATATGTATTTAATAATCTAAAAATATTTGGAAAAACCGAGAATTAAATAGGAGGAGATTAATTTTCAATTTTTGTATTTTTGATTTTTTCTTAGCTTCCAAGTGTACTTTGTAATAATGATCGGGTGCGAAAGGTCGAAGTTATAAATAACAATTGCACCGCGCGCAATGTTTGTACGCCTGGCACGAAACGAGGTATGCAGGTACGCCGCACGGGCGATTGGCCGAGCTTTCTATATAAAATAATAAGTGTCGCGGAGAGCCGAGGGTAGATTAGAGTGGCCGGAGAGGGCAAAAGCGCGGGTGAAACAAGAATGTTATGATAACGTATGCGACGATAACGTGGCGCTTATTGCCGCCGGCATAATCGTCTAACTGTGAAATTAAGTTCGCTGTGAGAAATAATGCCGTAATCGAAACTGTTACTTTAATCCGGCATGTAAAAGTACATGTTAAACCATTTATTTCTTATTACTTTTTTTTCTCGTGTTTTTTTTTTATCTGCCACTACCGTTAATTTTTCCTGTTACTTCTCGCTATCGTTGACTCGCGACTTTCTCGCGTTGCGCACTCGAGGATGAGGTGTCGCGAAGGTCAGAATGCAGATGCAATGGCGTCATTTGGGTGCGAAAGTGCAATTTGAGCCCGTGCGCTTGTAACGTAGGTTTTAGCGTGAAGAACACACCCCACGAAGGATACCCAGCCACGTCAGCTACTTCTTACTTACATAATATCCGATTGCTTCCCAGTCCGATTCCGCTCCTATCTCGAGAGGATTCTCGTGTCCTCTGACCTCTTCGTCCTCATGTCGCTTCGGTAATTCAATGCCCGCATTTTAATTCCTTATCTCTTCCATCTCCCTCCCACACCGTTTTGCGTCCTTTCATATCTAGTTACGGACGCGTCTCTAGTTCGAAAACAGCGTGCCGAGTTATGGGCGCCATGAAACGACGTAAGCAATCGGATATCACGACCTTAATTCTGATAATATTAATAACGATTTGAGAGATATGATATTATAGCGAATGAAAAAAAGACGGTCGAGTTTTCTACGAAAAAATATAGACATTTTCACAGCACTTTATGCAAATTATTTTACAATTATACACTGCAATCTCTCTTATCATTGTATTATTTAAATTAAAATGAGTACTGCTGTAATATTGTTAATTGTATTACGTACATATATTCTCTTGAAGACTCTCTCGGTATCGTTTTTACATGTTTCTCTGTTGCGTAAAAAATTATCGGATCGTGTCTTTTTGCTGAACTAGTCCATTCTTCTAATTCGCACTCGCAATTTCTCGCGAACGACGATAATCCGACGATTAACGACCCGGTATTTGTGGGTCAAGGTGGCGTCATAAAGGCGCGAGAACGCAACTCGACCCGCGCCCGTATACATAGCGCGGTACGCTCTGAGAGAGTTCGTAGGACTTGGACGGGCATCAGCAGCTTCTTGCTTACCTACATACAATATCCAATTGCTTCCCAGTCGCATTTCTGCCAAATACGCTGCTCGCGTACGCCGACCTCTCCTCGTTCTCTCCTTCTCCGCTTTGCTTTTCTTCTCCTTTTTTTTTCCACCGCGTAACCTGAGACGAATTCTCTTATTTTTCTCCGTCGTCAAGTGACGCGCTCGCTCGGCCTCTACTAGGAAGGATAAACTCGCGGATTTACGTGGATTTGCACTTTAGCGCTCATGCCGTTAAGCGACGGTGTGGACCGGATGTGGTCCGATTTGAAAAAATCATATTTTAATTTTTCGCCAAGTGGCAACGTGATTTAAATAATGAGGAAGAAAAACGTTTTCGCAATTAAGTACATTTATGGCAATAATATTTGCTTTAAATTTGAGCCAATAATTTTATTATTGAAATAATAATCGTATACAATGAGCTTTTCAATATGATATACGATGCGGCTACTGGGTTGACTTGCATTATTATCGGCTAACGCCGGAAATTCTGATAACGCAATGTCCGTTTCCATTCTTCCCTCGTCGCCTTTATGCTTCCTGTATTCTTCCCTCTCTGTTATTCGTTCGCGCTCTTCGTTCCCTCGCGTTTTCCTCAATTTTCATAGTTACTTTATTACGAACAGTTATTAATGTTTTAATGTTTATAATATTTTCACAACATATTTATGTTTATTTTGAAACAAATATCCTGACATTGGAAAGCGACACATTGGAAAAGTAAGGAACGTATTTTCGCATCGCACAATATTCCGTTATATAATTATTGATTTCTAGAAAGTCATCAAAATATCAATAACACAAAAATCATCATTAAGAACCACTTAGGTTCATCTTAAACTCATTTATACACTTGAAGAATTAGAAAACATTTGAAATTCTTGCATTCTATATTTTCTTTATAAAGCTCTATATAATTCACTAGAGTTGGCAATTATTATTTTTATTAATTCCTCGTTCTTTTATTTTGTTAGACGAGAAAAGTAAAGCCGAATATTTTCATTGCTCGGACTTGTTTTCCGTGGAACGTATTTTGCGTATTCTGGAATAGTTTATGTTCTACGCTGCGCTCGCGGCTGAGAAACTATGCATATTCATAGTCACGTAAATCGCAGTGGGGGAATACCGCTAACTAACGAAGCGCGATTGTTTCCGAATGGTCACGTAAAAAGAGGCCACTGCAGATATGGTCTCTCCCGTCATAGACACGTGTTCTTTACCTGGTCGCCAAATTGCGTCGCGTCGCGCGCATCGGAAATATCGATAGCACCGGAAGCACGCGTGATTGTATTATTATTACGCATTTTTATTTCAGTGATAGAAAGGAAAGAAATTCACGGGAGAAGCCGAGCGATCACTATTCTCGCAAATCTTGCAAATTTATTTTATACCATGTTCTTGTCTCCGCTTTTTCGAGGAAAACATATTTATTTTTACAAGTAAAAAATATGCAGAAAAAAAATGAGCACGTTCTTTTTCTCACAAAAGATGAATATTATCAATGAGCACATTTTCATGCGTATTTTCTATCTTCGCTTGTAAAAATAAGTACTTTTTGCTTTTGATTTTCTCATTTATTCTATTATAAATTAATTAATGCAGTATTAAATTATAATAAAATTGCTCCGTGTCAAGCATGTATATATAAGTTATATTGTATATGTAATCATTAACTTGATTTTGTGAATTAACACTTATAAATTGTGTAGAATGTGCAGAGCACCGAGCAGTGTGCATTGCAAAATTATATATTTTCGGTATTTATTGTTAAATACTAACCGCTATCAAATATTACGTCATTAAGAATCAGAGATATTGCATTACATTTTTTTATCGGACATCTTATCGTTTGAGCTGAACCATTACTGTTAGTCGACGATACACCATGCCCTCTGTGAAGTCACCGACAGCACATTGACGGTTCATTATTTTGCGATCCGATTTCCATTCGAGTGGTCCAAATTATAATCAATCAATTTTGCAGACGATTAACGAAATGTAATGCAATTTAAAAAGAAGAAAAATGGTGAAAGGGGTGACGGATGTGTATGGAAGTGTATATATGTGTGATAGAGTAAGTGTTCCCGCGCGTTACATCTTGATTGAACTTTCTGAGAAACACAGTGTGTATGAAATGAACACAGTGCACAACATCGAGGCGGAGTACTTTACGGAGGGCCGCGAGTGCGTGAATTGCGGCGCGATTTCCACACCCTTATGGCGTAGGGATGGCACCGGGCATTACCTCTGCAACGCATGCGGTCTCTACCACAAGATGAACGGAATGAATCGTCCTCTAATTAAACAGCCACGTCGCTTGGTAAGGAAGGCTTCACGGTGCCGCCATTGCGACGCTATCGCGATCCGGAACGGTTTGACAAAGCCGTTTGCCGAAAAGATTGCGGGGACCCGCTGCGCGCGACTCGGTAGTTTGCGCTTTGTTACAATTTTCATCATACTCGAAAGATTTGAAAAGAAAAAAAAAAATTACATTTTTTTCTAAAAACAGTAAGAAACACACAGAATTTGGGTTCCTTTTTTTTTTACGCAAACGTCTTGCAAACCGTTGGTTCTACGAGCCGGATTTAGTCGCAAGGTAGAAAAAGGGATGTAAGAGAGAAAGAGACAGAAAGAGAGAGAAAATACGAAAAGGATACTTTCTCGCTCGTCCTCGTTACTGTCCAGAAGCCTATGTGGAAAATCGCCCGTGACGTTCTGCCCTCCCGTAAGTCCGCGATACGCTGAGCGATCGCATCTCGATCCCGGAATATAAAACTGCAAAAAAAAAAAAGAAAGAAGCACGTTACGTCGCCGCATGCGCGCGACGTCAGTCTCACCCCCTCCTTGTTCCGGGTGGGAGGTGAGAGATAGGGTGCGGGCTCGATCCGCACCGCTATGTGTGTGTGTTCGGCACGCGCAGGAAAGAAACACCCCTAACGCATGGCCTCATGTCTGTTTCAGTGGCGGACCAGGGCGATTACTACAAAGGCTACTGTGGGTATAGTGGCGCCCGTCGTGGCGCCTTCTCGGAGGAGAAATCGAGCCGTCGTTTGGTAGGTGTCATCCTCCCCAGTCAGCATTCTCTCTCTTTCTCTCTCTCTCTCTCTTTCTCTCTTTCTATCTTTCCACCTCTTTATCTCGTAACACGGTATGAATAATAATATATTTTCCCAGTTTGTTTTTTTTTTCTTTTTCTGTTCTTTGGCACTCCTTATCCTGTGGTTCATTGTATCCTCCATCATGTTTTCCTCATCACTGTTTGATCTTTATTGCACTCAAGTATAAGATGATAATTAATGATTGGAAGATAGTTGGATTTGTGGTTTGTGTGTGATAACATGTAATAAATTTTGGACTATCGGATATATTAAATTGATGTTTCCCCATCAAGTCTTAGCACTGATGGATAGGGGATGAAGATGATGTTGATCGAAAATCCAATAGTATTTATGAAATTGATAATTATATTTATTTAAAATAATATACTTTTGATTCTCTCTCTCTCTCTCAATTAATATCGTAGTATTGACGGATAGATAAAGATGACACTGACAAATGTAATTAAATATATAAAATTTAATATGTATAAATATAATAATCAATTATTATATATAAATCAATATTGAATTGACATATTAAAGTTGCTTGTAAAAAATTAGTGTTCTTTAAGCAAATAAGTAAAATAAGTGAAAAAGAGGGAGGATATATGGACAAAAAATCAACATATGTACATACTTCCAAGCGGTCAAACATCGACAATGTCCTTTCTGTCCCGACTTCTCCTCAATCTTACTGTCTCGCGTTAACATCACACTTTTTCTTCGATCACGTCATTGTACTAAACGCCACAGTCGCGATTGCCGTGACGAAAGCAGTCGGTCCTACCGACTGTCCTCGTCGTCGGTGGCGCGTTTCTAAAATAGAAAACACTCGGATTCGTAGCCCCGAGGTGCCACTATACCCATGGTACGAGCACTCTCACCCCCGAAATCACGTGCAGCCTGGTCGTAAAGCACGCCTCGTCTCGTGCCGCTCGCAACTTCCGATCACACGGAATGATTCTTTGTGTTTGTTGAGTTTTTCCAGGCTCACGTGATCTTCGTGACTGAGGGTGGCTCGCTCTTTTCTGCTCCGCGGTCTCTGCGGTAACTTGCACAGAAAACTTTCTAGTCACGGTAAACTGACTCAATTCTCTCCCACGTCCGTACGGACTCATTACTGGCTCTGACGGCGAAAGCGACTGATGGCCACCCGATTTTTCCACGGTCGAATATGAAATGAATAAAGAGCTATAAACGTTCGAATATTTGGAAATTAATTTTCGACCTTGGTTTTGTACTTTAACTTTCGAAATTCACGTTACAAAAGTTTCTCTCATGTTTTCGACATCGATCATAATGTTAAACTAAGTCTGATGTTTCATATTTCGCGTTCTTGTTAGAATGAAACCAGATACCTTTTAAAAACAGTACGACTCGTCATTGTGTTTTCACTAGAACACTCACGGCTACGGAATCGTTCAAAAAATAAATTTTTTTTTTCCTCTCCCATCGAAGGAAGGTGACAACATATTATAATAATGATTTTGTATTTCTGTAGTCTGCTACGAGGCGCGTTGGCCTCTCGTGCAGTAACTGTGAAACTACGATGACGTCGCTGTGGCGTCGTAACTCGATGGGTGAACCCGTATGCAACGCCTGTGGTCTTTATTTCAAGCTGCATGGCGTCAACAGGCCGTCTACTATGAAGAAGGATAGCATTCAAACGCGCAAGCGAAAACCTAAAGGTGGGATGAAGACCAGTGACACGCCTCTTTCCAACAACGTCCAGCAATGCACAAACAACAACAACAATAATAACAATAACAGCGTCAAGATTGAACCAGGTAGGTCCTAGATAGCACAATATTGATAGCATTCGACATTCATCTAGTGAACATTTTATAAAAAAACATTTTCACAAAACTTGACATTCTTAAATTAAATATAATATAATATGTCTACGATATAAAAATAGCCAAAATAAGCGCATTTATGAAATCTTCATAGAAAACATTTTTATAATATCTTTAATTGTTTTACGAATGTTTGTCGTTAGAAATTAAATGCTTTTCACTTTTCACCGATTTTTCGCTTCTCTTCTTTCTCCAATTTTTTTTTATTGTATTTTTCAACGGACTAATTTTCAAAGCAAAAGTTTTTACTTGCCATGCTATGCCGATTTTGTGCGTCAAAAAAATATTAAGAAACATTTTATTATTTTAAACCCAGACGCTTATGGCGATTTGAGGATGGGTCACACCGTGTCGCAGGTGACATACGCTAGCGCCCTGTACAACAATCCTCAGTCTTCGAGCAGGTTAGTGTCCTATCAACCTACGCCCTCGTCGAATCTGTACTACGATATGATCGCTTCGCAACAACAACAGCAGCAGCAGCAGCAGCAACAGCAGCAGCATCAACAGCTAATGGAGATCCATTCGCCGAAAATCGAATGCCCGTCCCCATCTTGCTCCACGGGGGTGCGTTCACCGGGAATGGTCTCCCAGTCTCAGTCGCCTGATCATCATCAGCTCACTTCGCCGCATATCGTCACTTTGGGCAGTCCGTCGACTAGCCCAACCGGATCGAAAATCATGCTGGATAACGGTCACCTGGAAAGGCCTACAGTCGTGTCGATATCGTCTTAAGGACGATAGAATTTCGTGATACTAAACGGGGAGATACACTAGCTAAGAATTGTTTGTATGAGATGTCGGAATTGCCACTCAGAATCTCGTTAGGTTACATACCCAGTAAACATTGCATATCCTATGTATATACATGAAATATCCATAATGTGAAAAAATGTACTGTATATACTATGTACATACATATGATATAGATACATTTGATGTAGATACATTTGTGGATATACATAAGATATCTTAAGATATACATAGAATCAGTCATTAGTTCGTTTTGCTTGCCGTTATGTGACGCATTATGCGCTATCTATCTCGTATTTAAATTTTAATCATGAGAACTATATAAAATTTGCAAAAGGCGGGTAATAATATTAAAGATGTAATAACTGTTTCTATCTGTTTAATATCTGAATCCCAACACAGGGAATTTAGATAAACTAATTGTTCAAAAATTGAGTAGATAAATATCCGAATGAATGAAAATTTGTTTATTATTAAAAAACGTACTGTATATACTATGTACATACATAGAATGTACCTCATGTACATGCTACGAATGTGTATTGCACATTCTCGGAATATATCCTATGTACATACTGCGAACGTGCACTGCACATCTTCGGAATATACCCCATGTATACCAATGAATTATGAATGTACACTGCATATCTTTGGAATATACTTATGTATGTACTATGGACATCCTATGTACATACATGTAATAATTATTTCACATACATAGGATATGCGCTTTATATACTTTTCACATTCTCTGTATATACATAGAATATACAATATATATATATATATATATATACATAGGACGTACATAGAACGTTCTAATGTTTATTGGGTATTGCACTTTATACATTATATGTTACTTTTGTATGTATATTGGATTTTGCAGCCTGTAATCCAATATGAGAGAAAATTTTCGAATATGCATTAATGTTGCATATTTCATTTTTTTCCCCAATATATGGAAACAACAAAAGAAATATCCCGCTGGGTTTTCTTTCCTTCCGCGTATTTGTGATACATGAAGTTGAAAGTTATGTATCGTTACGTACTCAATTCGAATAGATTAGAGTATGTATATTACGTGTGTATGTTTTGGAAAAATTACAATCAATTTTTTTTCTTTTTGTAGAAGTGATCTTTTTTTCTTTTATGCGCTTTTTTTTACAAGCGCAAAATACTAAATTTTAGAGAATCCATTAAGTACGATCAATTACTATATGAGCCACTCAGAAGCCAAACTGATTAACTCCACTTTTTTGTAATTTTTCAAATTTTAGTATCAAAGCACATAATCGGTGCCCTAACTTTTCATAAATAAAATAAATTGATAGAGTCTTTGGTGTTTGAGCGATTCATATATAATATGTACGTGTGTTATTAGTAATATGTATATATATATTCATATCAATATAAATATATAATTGCAAATTGGAATATGCAATTATAATTATAATAATGCTAGGATAAGTCTTGTAAATACCTTTTAGGGTGAATTTAAAATGGGTTCAAGATTTTTCCATAGAAAGAAATTTCTATCGAATTGCAGCGATGTCATCGCATGCGAGAAATTTCGTGAAGAAATGCATTCCGTGAACATCTGTAACAAAAAAGAAAAAAAGTGATAATCGTAATTCCTGTAGAGAATATTGTATATTATGAACATATTGTGTTGATATATCGGATAATTACATATATTTTATATTTTATGATGTCCATTGATAATTTTTAATTGTATGTTATGTAATATGAATTGCGATTATCTCGCGAAAAAAAATTACAGAATGTGCGAATTAATAAGGTTCTTTTAATTCTTTCTATTTTAGACATATTGCACTATATAATAAATTTTATTACTTTACTGATGATGAATTTACTGCATTAACCTAGTCTATCTAATATTATATATTTTTTCAATGCTCTAAAATTTCCACTCTATACTTATTGTTACCGATGAGTTTTCAAGATTCTTGTAAATTTTTAAGCAAGTCAAGAATGACTGAAAATCAAGAATTTCAAAACATCTTACAAGATTGTGATTTTGATTGAAAATTTTGAAAATCTTAAAAATCTTTAATGTGTTTATATGATATTGTACACATATATATATATATGTGTATATATGTGTATTTATATGTATATGTGTTATATTATAAAATATTTAATATTTTAGACATTGAAAACTTCCTAGACTTTTCAAGACTCAATCATAATAACCTTACAAAATGTATTGAGATTTCTTGATTTTCAGTATTTAACTTAAAATGTCTTAAAACGAATTTGAATCATCAGTATATACACTAATCTAATTTAATTTCTATGTTTAATAAAGTACTTTCAAATTTTTTATAGCTTGAATTTTGCCTCCTGGATCTTGTTCGTGCGATCATAATTAAATAATTACAGGTATTAATTTCAGTGTAATACTTTTTTTTCCTTTTTAGATATTTCTTGTAAGAAAAGTAATGGATCCAAAATTATGTAATTGTAATATGTACCCAAAATAATCATTCAAAAAGTATTGGAAATAAAACTGTTAGCTTTTTCACATTATCAGCTAAAGGACAAAGAGGGGGTAAACGCTATATTTTACCGTTCATATGCTTACCTTGACTTTTTGCATAATTTTACGGAAACGTTCTTTTCTTTTCCCAGTAATTTTTTACGCTTATTTACTTATCTCATAGTTTTTACTTATTTACTTATTACTCTCTTCAATTTTTTAAAATTTAGTTAATTTAATTATTTAATTAGCAGAGGGGACCTCACCTTTTCTATTCTTTTTCCAAATACGCTAATATACCTCAACTGTTTCATTTCCCATGCTACTTGTATATGTTACATAGCAATATCGATTAAAGATCTACAACTTTCGGTTATTGCCGATTTTTGTAGCTGATGCTCATTGCTTTTGGCCGCCTACGGTTCTTACAATTGACAATATCTTGTCAAAGGATTCTTTTGACTGTTTAATTATTTGTTGCTAGGAACGCGAGTCGGAAATTAGCTGAAAGTTGTAGCGCTAAAATTGCATTAAAAAGTTATATATTGCTGAATACTTTTTGGAAAAAGTTGGAAATTATATAAATTTTGGAAATTTGTGTAATTCCTTAGTTTATCTTTTGTTTTTTTTTATTCATTTCTTTTTTCTTTTTTTTACCAAAGAAGACTTCATTAACAAGTCTTGCATCAATATCTAAGATGATACCAAATTGCAGACTATATATCTATATATGTAAATTGAAAACTTTTTTATATAATATATAAGCGTTTTTATATATATCACCACGTGCAAGCGATTAAAAATAATAAGAATAATGTAATACAACTAGACAATAATATATACAACGGTGCACATTATACAAATAAACATATCCGACGGCTATGCAAACATATGCGATGACTGTAATGTAACTTTTTCCCTTTCGTAACATCGCATTACATCAATATGTTTAACAAAATATATTTTTAGAGTGTTATGTATCAAGACATCAGTTATTTTGTAAAAGAAAATGAAATAAAATCAAAAAGTTTCGCTATACGTCCTATCTCCGATTTATTCGCTTAAATTTATAAGTAAATTCATATTAAAAAAAGTCATCTAAAAATTTAGAACTAACTAAGATCATTACTAGAATTATACACTTTTTTTTATAAATTATGAATAAATGTACTATCCAACGTGCACTATCACTTCATATGCAATCGCATAATGTGAAACGTGCGATTTATGTTTTTTTCCTCCAAACTGTATCCACTATATTATTCAAGAGCAAAACCATGTACTTTTAGTATTATCAAAATGGATTACCCGAGTCACGATTAACGTTTGACCGCTGTAATACTCACAAAAACACTACTCAGCTGATGAAGCGAAAAGTCAGTGAACGGCCGGCGGAAGATTCATCCTTGTGTATTTTGGGCGATAATAAAATATCTCGCCTAATCTTTGTACATGTCAGAGATATTCTTTTGTTTGCGGCAATGGCGCAGTGACAGCATGGGCCACTAAATAATTAAAATACTTAAAAAAAATTACCAATCGCTTGAATGATGATTGTTTATTTAAATAGTTTTTAATTAAGATCTCTTTTAAATTAAATTTTAATTAATTATTACGAAAATTTGTAGCTAATTAAAACTTCCGTTTCAAAACTTCCCACACATCACGCATATCCAAAAGACGACCGGAAGACATCTCGAAGATATCTTTGAGAGATACGATATTTTCGAGACGTCTTCTTCGAAACGTCCTCCGGATATGCATACTGTGTAGGTTTTTTCTTAATTTGTCTTAGTTTTCAGGACTTGAAATAAAACAGAATCCACACAGCACAGCATATCTAAAAGATGTCCAAAGGATATCCCGAAGACGTTTTTGGAAACGACAGAAAGTATCCTCTGGGTATCCTTTGGATGTATTTATTTTAGACATGTGTGCTGGTAAGTGATTTAGTATCTTAGTATTCTTAGCTTGATAAAAATAAACAATAAACGCAACTTGCACAATTTATTTTGATTAATCCAAGGGTGTTTTGCTATTGAATAATTACAGGAATACAATTGTTACATAAAAAAGGAATGTCGTCATGAATTCCGCCTGATTACGCCGTTGCATCCGGGGCAATAATACACGCTGGATCGTCGCCTTATTAGGATGATGTCTCACCTGATCCGCTTATCAGCATACCCCGATGTGTGCTTTGTAACCATGACAACAACCCTCCGCCCCCAAACTTCCCCTCCTTCCGACCGCTGATAAGAGATCTCAGGACTTTATACGCGCCGTACACATCTAGATATACACCGCACGGATGTGCGCTTGTACACGGCAAGGTAAACCGTTCCCTCATCACAGGGAGCTCTACGAAAATAACCTGGGATAAGAGTAATAAACTGTGAACAACATGAGCGCGGCTATATAATTTTTTTCATAACACAAGATTCAGCTGCATTCTCTCTTGTCTCTCTGGCAAATTGTCTTGCAATGCTTTTATTCGAACATTATCAAAATTTTTTCAACATTTTTCTATGCGAGGTGCAAGTCAAAAGTATGTATATATTTTTTCCCTGATTTTTATCGATGGTTTTTATGCGTTATCTTTGTATCACACCACGTATATTTCGTGTTAAATAATTATTAATAATATGTGGAAGTTTAATACGAAACAAATTTTGAAAGAGGAGTCCATCTTATGGATTCTATCATGTCCGTTACCTTCACTTTCTTTTAATCTATTATTGGTTCGAAAAATACTTTTTCTCTTACAGATAAGATATCTTGCTACGAAATATTTTCCGCATTTTAAGCTTCAAATATTTTTCTCTGTAAATATTATATTTACTATATTTATCTAAGTATTACAATTTCTTTTTTAGTTTTTTTCCAGCATTTTTCTTTTTAAAAATTTTTCTTTCTCATTCTTCTGAGATTATTTTGTTTAATTAATGATTAAGTAAATAAATATGCATTTTATATTTATAAACGCTCTACGCAGCCGCTTATTTCAATCATCCCTGAAGGAGACTGTTGCCGTCAAACTGATTCCACGAGTGGAACATCACCACGAAGTTTCGCAACACATGTGATGCGAGCGATGAAGAAGTGCGGGGGACGCCGCGGGGAGCACCATCAGTGCTCCAATATGGCGTGAGCAGAAGAGGGCATAGTACGTCGAGGCACGGCGGCATCATTCGCCTCCTAATCGTCGTCAGTCAATATTTGACAGGCTCTCGGATCAAATCGAAGCTTCGATCTTGCGCTACCAGACGGCAGTTACGACGACAACGACGACCGCGATTACGAGAGCGACGGACGAGAGCCGCGACGACGAGGACGAGCCGGAGCAGGTCTCCACGCACTCCCCGCGGAAGCGCACCTGTGTCAAGCGCGCGCCGCATGTGTGTCTCGCTTCACAAATTCACTCGCGGATCCAGCAACGAGGAGCGAGTTCCGAGAACGTCGTGGACCCGCAACCAGTTTCCAGAAGGGATACACCACACGGCCGCACTTCCTCTTTGTCTTCCTCCTTCGCGAGGTGATCCGTAAGTGAAAATTCTCTTCGCGCGACATTTTCGGCGCGATTTCGCGCTTTGACAGAAACCGGCGTCGCGTAAATAGCGAGTAAACGAGCATATCTGATGTCGGCAAACTTTAATTGTCGTGGAATAATTTTTTTTGTCTGTAGCATAGTTAGTGGATGTGATATATAATCTAAAAATAAGCTGAAATAAGATCGGTTGACATAAGAAGGTAGCACTGACGAAACCGAGTTAAGTAAATAGAAGCCTGAAGTATATAGAACTCTGAATCATTTCCCTTTTATATAAACTTACAAAATAATGTGAATCGAATTATTAATTTCATAATCATAATTAATATTGATACAAGTTGATGTTTGAAGTTATATAAACATTTAATATAAATTTTTCAAATTTAAGGATACATACAACAAACGTTAGTAAAATATAAGATTTATATTTATAACAAACGAAAGAGAATAATAATACATATAATAAAGTTTAAAGTTAGGCTCGTTATAGAAATTTTATTTTTGGGTGAATTTGGTTGTGAAAGAAACAATCGCAAGGGTCGAGACTTGATCCTTGAGCGTCGAAGCACTTACACGATTTTTACCTGAACCTAAACGGCGTTGAGCGAGAAAGAGAGAGAGATGCACGCAAGAAGGTGCCGACGAACGAAAGCGAACATCCGTGGTAACGCGAGTACAACGCGTACACGAAAGAAACAATATTGTGTTTTATATTCGGGTCGTTTCGACACTTGTGTTTTATACGCGGCCCGCTTCCTCCTCTTCGTCCATATGTACCGACATCGAAATCTAGACACGAGCCTCACCGGCTTGATTCCTCCGTCTCTCTCCTTTTCTCGGGATCACCTTCTTCTTTCTTTCTTCATGTCTCCTAAATGTGCTCTTTTTCAAGGTCTGGGTTCACGTCGATTCGTCTGTTTTTTCATCCAAAAATGCGTCACATGTGCGTCCGAACTCGTGCGAGCAATGTCACCGTGGCAATATGAGAATTTTACGCCTCTCATAGTGTTACGAATAATTATTCGACACAGTTTGTGACGTTTGCATCAATAGTAAAGTTAGCTACGAAGATAGCGAAATCTAGAAACCCGATTATTAGAGTCAGCGAATATTATAAAAATTAATTATTCGCTAATTTTGTCAAATAACGCCGTTATTTAACTAATTAAATTTTTCGTTCTTCCAATTTTAACGCGAATTAGATCAGAGTCTGATTCAGTTCTTGTTTTTACATGTTAAACCTTTCGGTATAAATTTTTTTTTGACTCAACATTAATTAAATCAATCAAAAATTACTGCAATTATATAATATTTCATTATTGAATAGTTTGGCAATACAAACTTACTTATTCTTTACATGCAACACATTCTTGTGGAAAATTTTATGCATGCCACACACGAAGTCATCAAAGTATACGTAATACCCAGTTCACACAAATGATCGAAAACATTTGCAGACTTTTGAGCACACCCATTTACAGCATATTAATAAATTAATGTTTAATTAATATACCTGCGTCTGGCTTACGAACGAGACATAACTTAAACGACGGTGTCCAGATTGTTCGAACGATGCTGTTGATAGTGCGAATATAAAATCGACGATTACTCCGACGGTCAGTGCTTGCGACGGAAGATTTCGATGAACATTCTTGAATAACATTCCGCAACATTCCGTTTTTTTTTATAAATTTTATTAAATTTTTTAAAATTTTATATAAATTATTCACATTTTTATTTTTCTCGGCCACATACACACTGCGTTTTTTATCCACCTGTTTTTTTTTTTTCAAACATTGCACAAACCTTTTCCAATTCACACTCGATTATTATACCTTCGGGATTTATCTACCAACACAATATTTGATTTTATTTTCACTAAAATCCGAATTTGGGAAACTTACGAGAGTCTTTCCGAATTTTCCATCGATTACGACACAATCGACGTCGAAAGCAACATCCACTGTAAAAACCGTTTTTACGTGTAAACCAAGTAACTTTTCTACTTTGCGCGAATTTTCTTTTTCGGTTTACGTTCGTTCACAATACAGTTTATTCCCGAATACGATGGATCGATCTGATTTCGGATTTTATCTGGAAATCGCAGGCTGCGCGATGTCGGTATCGCTGCTCCTCGCGGCGTCTGGCACGAAACTATCCGTCGTCAGGAAGAGAGAGAGATATCCCCTGAGCGCAGATAATATTTTATTAATCATTAAGCACATAGCCGCCGCACATATAAGATAATGGGAATAATATCAGGCAATGACGATAATACTGTTTGTCGTGCACGTTAATTATTGGTCCTCGCGCACCGCGACCGACTCTCGCGCCGCGCCGTCGGCGACGATGTATCCGCTCGATTATCGATCTGTCTGGCGTTGATTTGTTCGGAAGTGACAAGATTTATTTTTGTAAAGCGTTGCATAAATTTATCATAGATTAAACAAACGACGAATTCTTCAAAGAATTCAAAAATCTCGATTTGACATGATAGCAACGGAAAGAAATTTTTTAAAGGCAATGGAATACCTACGCATAGAAAAAATATGCTGGTAGCAAAAATTTTAACAACGATTCTTCGATTATTTAACATTGCACATTGTTTCAAATTGATACAACAACAATGAGAAATTAAAAGCCTGTCAAAAATTCGTACAAGATTAATTCAAGAATGATGTAAGTTTTTCAACCATGTAACTTTGATTTAATACGTTGAAATCTTGTAAGTTTTACTATTTATAATTGAAAACTATGTAATTTGTAAAGCGTTAATACGTTGGTATAAATTAATGGAGTTCGGATAAAAATAGAAATTCGCTGATGTCGCGATAAATGTGAAAAAAGCGTCGCGATACAGGCTTTAGTTCCGAATGTGATTCCATCGTAAATCATTTTTCCAAGGTCTCGCAGCGTTCCATTCGTGGCCGAGCGATCGAAATACAAATATTGGAATAAAAAGTTTCGATCCCGTCGCTACACTGCAGAAACGCAAACATCACCATGGCGGTACAAGGCGCGCGTCTCTTCTCTTCGAGAAAAATGACGAATTCGTAAAACATCGTCATTTATCGACAGTCAGTGTTTCGCGATTGAAAAATCTGAGCATTGGTATCTTGATTTCGTGCCGTCATCTAGTTCTCCAAGTTTATTTTTTTTTTTCGGATACTTGACGACGTACGAGCGCACTATATTTGCGATGAAAACAATGAGCGTGGAACTTATTTGCACGGCGCGGTCGTAGCGCGATGTTAATCCCGTCGACGTTAAAATCGAGGCAGTTCTGTCTCGTTGTAAATTTCAGTAATTGCGCCGTAAAACCTCCTTCATCTTTGCGCGAGACACGAGGCATCGCGCTGCGTGGTTAAACATCGCGTCTATTGAGCCATAAAGGAGTTCTTACGTTCGCCATTTTAGTGCACGTGCGTGCATCATGCTTGATTGTAAGACGATGACAAATTGTAATAAAATTTTATGGGCTAGTAATAAGTAATAAGAGTCGTGAAGTTTGGTCTTAGAGCTGTTGTCTTATTTCGTAGTTCTGAAAAGTCTTCATGATAGAGTCATCAGATTTGTTGTCAAACTACAATTCCTGCGTTGTAAGTTTGAGCTAAATTTATACAATCTTTCAGACGGTTTATCAAAAAGATTTATTTCCTAGACTTCTAATAGAATCTTCAGACTTCCAGTTTACTTACGAATAGTACATGATGATAAAAGTGGGAGAGAAGTGGGAGAGAAGTATGAGGGCCTTCGAATTTTCATTAACGTAAAATTATCTTCCTGCTTAAATTTTGATTAAAAAAAACGTCAGCTGAAACATGACTTATATATCAGTATTCCTCGAATTGCATGATGTCGCAACGTGCAAAAATAAGACATCATTTTCGCGTAGATGCTCTCAGCGATACGGACTCTCACATACGAATGCGAATCACTTACCTACACACATATACATTTTTTAATGTACGATGATAAGGGATTTCTACGTGGCTGATAAAGAAAATGGCCTCGACGTGCTCGCGCTTCGTTTAATGACGTAAATATCCTCTTTGCTCGATCGATTTTTGCTTCTCGTCGTCGTGTTTGCGCCAGAAAAATTCGTTGTGTATTAATCGCCTCAGAGCGCGAAGTGCAGGATATCCTTGACGCTATTATATTTCATTGATGTCACCATCTGCAAAGCCCTCGTACTTTTTCATGAGAATCAACACTCGTCCACGTTCTTTACATACTCCGTGAATTACCTCACTTCGATCGTAAATCTGTAAATTGTGCTTCCGTGATGTCTCGCACGTGCAGATTTCTTACGCGAATCCAGATGATTTATTTTCGGAATTATTCACTTCGTTTTATGCGCCACACTTTTGCAATTTTTCTCGAGCAGCCGTCTCTAAGACGAGTATCGAAATCGCATCGAGCCCCTCACTACTATCTTTCGGGTTGCACACGTAGT